TAAAACTCTTTTAGATTCCCATTCTCTAGAGCTTAATCGGATTAAAGCTCACATTGGAATCGCAGGGAACGAAAGAGAAGATTCCGAAGCGAAAAGAGCAATACAACAAGATCAGATAGATGTTGAAGTGCCACTTTCAGATATTTCGGCCAAACATCAAATCCTGCAAGAATCGCTTAAAACAAAGCAACAAAGATGGGATGAGGATTCTACAGGGCGTTCGACTTATGCCTCTTCCCCACAAATTTCTGTCTCTCGTATACAATCAGATCGCATTTTAAATGAAGTCTTGACAAATCATAGTAAATTTCCTCAATAAATTCAACGATTTCATAAAAAGAACACAAGATGTGGCTGTGGGACAAGTGCAGAGTTTGCAGGAGCTTTCCATTACATCACGTCTTGTTTAATAACAGTGAAAGAAAGAACATCTCTTTTTCAATCACCATTGCCTTCACTGGGAACATTGGGAAAATGTAATTCTACTCTTAATGCCAAGAAGTCAATTATGCAACTTATGCATGTAAACGACTCTATTGTTTATCGTTAATCTGACAATGTTTATGTCATTCTAATTGTTATTTTTCCTTCCATTCACTTCAATGTAATTTTCAATTATTTAGTTACCATAGCGTGTACTTACACCTGCAGCAAATTGTATCCCTGTTTATATGTTTATTTGAATTTGTCTATTATTTTGTTGTTATTGTAATTAATTATTATTATTTATTTTAATTACTGTTATTATTTATTTGTTATGATTAAGATTATGATTATTATTTGTTATGATTGTTATTTTGTTTGTATATATGTTCATTTTAATTTTACTCTGCTTTAATTAATTGTTCATTTATGTAATTTTTTTTTCCTAAATTACACTAGCATTGTAACCTCACATTGTCCCTGCACTTCCTGTTTTAGCTGTCATGACTTCCCCCCTTTTTGGTTTTAAGTTTACAAAGCTTTCTCTTCCCCTTTCGCCGTTTAGCCTTCCCTCTCAGTCCTCTCAGTTTGCTACATTTCGCCTGTTTCCCTTCGTTTTTAGCAGTGATGGCTCTTCTTAGACCAGTTTTTAGCTTTTTGCTTCTTTCCTTTTTAGCCGAAAGGCACCCCCTCCGCTTTTAGTCGTTTGGCTTCTTTTTGAGGCCCTTATGCTCAGCTGACGTGTTCTGCCTTGTTTTAGCCTATTGGCTTTTGCCCACTTTGAATTAGCACCTGTCTCCTCCTGCCTAATCCGGAGTGAGATGACGGAGTGTTTAGAAGTGTGGATTCAAACCCATTTACTGGCAGCAATCGTTACAAAATCCTGCAGTTTCTTTCAGTAGCAGGAGCGGTTATAAGAGTTTGTTGTTTTTTACTCGACTTTAACTCCTTATTTTTATTTTTATTGACATTTTCTTTTAATTATTTCTTTTGTATTATTTGAAAAATTCACAGTCATCCAGATGTATTTCAGAAACGTAAATCTGTCGAAACTTTTTCGGTTGCTCCTTGAAGAAGACCAAGAAAATTTCAATGAAATTTTTATTTTAGTTCTTTATAACAATTTTTTGTATTATATTTATTATTTTATTTTTTCTTTTAATTTTAATATGTGCTTCTTATCAGACTCTTAACCCCCTTTGTCTATTTAATTTTCGATTTAATTATTATCTCTTGATTATTTAATAAATATCGCGACACTGAAATCCGCTGAGTTGGCTTCTGTCCCAGAGTATTGCATAATCCGTACAGAATTGGTTACCAACTCAGTAGTACAATTATAAATGGGCTGTCCTTGAAGATATTAAAGCACTGTGTATCTTAGGAAGCCGTATCTCTTACCCATCATGCATAATACATGCATACTTACTAATACATAAAGCAAATATAAAATATAGATTCAAATATGTGAAGCAATTACATAATAAAAATACACAGCACATTCTTGAATAAATGCTAATACATTCTTAAATAAGTACTAAAACACAATTAAGTTAGAAACATTACAAAAAAATTATTACATATTATGAAACTACTGTTATGCTTCCAATAACTTCACTTTTTACCTATACACTATATATTTACCAATATTTGATTGACTAATAACTTGTACCATATTATTACAAAAATGCATTATACAGCACGCATAAGTACAATGTATTATCAATCTACTTATTCATAAGTATTTTTACATAGAAATCTATTATACAGCAGGTACACGTAGTACAAGTACAGTGTTTTATCAATCTTAACGATATATATATATTTTTCATTCTTAGGTAAATACTAAAACCTGTTTCAGGAACTGATACATTACACACATACAAATTTACCTTACAGTATATAGTACTTTATCCAATCTGTTATACTTTATAATATTACTGCGCATAATACAAAACAAAAACAAACTCCCAAGTACATCTATAATACAGTACATTATACAAATACGTTGTGCCTGTACATTACATAGTTACCAATATTTAATACAATTGCAAGTATATTACAACTGGTACATTTACGGATAAATGACAGATTTACATTAATTACAAATCCAGTTATGATATTTATTATCCACGTATTGATTAAATACTCATACATTACCAGATAATTGCCTCTTACAATATCTAGAATATATTAAAATCGCTATTACATAATACAATTACTATGCACAATATTTCATCGGCATATAACTTAAATAGATACAATCCTGATTACATACTAATATTTTATTCAGTTACCACTTTTTTAGGCATGAACTAAAACACAAATACATATTCCATATTACAAAATCCAGTACATTGTACAATTATAACAAGTCCATGTTATGCAATAGCCAATACATTATACAATTGCCAATATTTAAACAATTATTGTACCTTATAACGCAACCTTGGAATAATGCACAAAACTACTAAATAATTACTTATACAATAGCTAAAATGTTAAAAGAACCTTACAAATGCCAATTACTAATGTGCGATTTCCAAAGTACAATTACCAATATGTAATACAATTACTGATATATTACAAGGCACGTTCAATTGCAAATACATTATGCAGTGTATTGTACCAGAGCACAGTACAAATCTACTGCCATAGACATGGAGCATTCTAATTTTCTATAATCTTCGTACAATTATAAATGGGCTATCCTTCATATTCATTTACAGTATTCCCTTAATGAACTGATTATGCTAAGATTACTTGCCTATGCTAAGACTATTTATCTGCACACCCGTCAATAATGTTTTTGAGCCGTGGTTGCATATTTATTATATTGGAGGCTCTTGTACCACACGGACTTATTATTATCACTCGGCTGGCTGAGTCTCTGATGTCTAAGTAGATTGCAGCTGAATGCAAAATGATCCGGGCTGCCTTCTTCGCCACATTCACAAGATGTAATATCTCTAATCTTAAAGCGGTAGAGATAAGAAGGAAAGGGGCCGTGGCCTGTCAAAAAGTTAGTGGTATAGTAAGGCGGAATATGTCTGTCCAGGGAGACCCTAGGGATGCTCTTATATACCTCTTCGTCCTGTGGCGCTTCTCTCCCACTCGTTTTGCCATTTAGTCATAAGCTGAGACATTGTTTGTTGCTTGAGAAAAGAGACCGGTTTGAGAGCCGGTATTTCTGGGTGTGTGGTAGAAAATGCCGCTTCTTCGGCAATATAGTCAGGCATTTCATTGCCCTATATGCCAACATGTGCGGGGATCCAGTGCAGATGAGGCCTATTGCCTGATTGGAATACTTGCAGCAGCAGATGTCTAATATTATTCACTAATGGATTGCGTGAAACAGTTTCTGCTATCGCAGTTAAACTTGAAGCAGAGTCTATATAGATGTGATTAGATGCCAGACGAGCTTCCGATAAATAAATTATGGCTTCTCTATCGCTAGTAACTCTGTCTGAAAAACTGAGTTAAAATTACCCAGTTTCCTTTCCCACTAGTAAGTATCTCTATTGTTTTCGATATAACAGAGGCCACTGCATGTTCCCTCTAGGGATTTAGAACCATATGCATATATTCCATCTGCACTGCTGAGGTCATTTTGTTTCATAAGTGAGATGTGTTCCTCTAGGTTACTTGCCGCTATATGGCAGAGATCTTCTGGGCTGTGATGTTCGTAATCTGAATTGACGTATTCTTGTCACCTTAGATTAACAGTGATTCCAAGTTGGGGAACCTTCACTATCATAGCTTCTCGCTCTGTGACTAAGTCAAGAGGAGGCGTTCCCGCTATTACTTGCAGTGCCGCCGTCGGAGATGTTTGATATGCCCTGCAGACCATAAGGAGTTGCAGTCGCTGGATAGAATTAAGAATATGTCTCATGTGGGATGCGATATGTGTATCCCAATCGCCGCTCCATATAAGATGATCCTTTAGGCCACAGTCGTGTACCAGATCTTAAAAAGCTTGCCAGGGATTCCCCATCTTAATGAGGTAGTCATTTTCATGCTATTAGTCAATGCAGTAATTCATTTTTTTACGTATTTTAGATGCGGTAACCACGACGGCTTGGAATTGCTGATCACTCCTAGATATTTTAACTCTTTTACGTATTTAATAGAAGCCCCTTCATGTCTAAGACCCGGGTTTCTTCATAGCAGGCTTTTCATTCCAATGATTAAGGCATTTTTGTTATTTGCAGAAATGTGAAGCTTGTGCTTATTTGCCCATTCTGCAAAGATGTTAATGTTATCTTCGGTCCTCCGTTCCAAGTCACTTTGTCCTAACGCAATGAGGAGAAAATCATCCGCATATGCCAGTGAGCAAAGTCCTTCTTTGCCGTCATAGAGTTGGAGTACAGAATTGGCAACAAGATTCCATAATGTCCAGCCAAGAAACGATCCCTGTGGGCAGCCTCTCTTAAGGGATGGAGGAATGGCTATGAAAGTTTCATAGCCATTCCTCCATCTAAGGTGACATGTACATATCTATCCTCCAAGTAACTTCTTGTAAGATCCATTAAGGTACCTGGACAGCCAGTTAGTTCGAGGCTGTGGACAATGTCAGGTCACCAGAGAGAATCAAAAACACCTTGAACATCTAGTGCAACTATTGCCGTGTGTCGATCTTCTCTTCTGTTAGAAATCATGATTCTTAACAAGTGCTGTAATGCGTGTTCTGTAGAAAAACCCGCTTTGAATCCATATTGTTGAATATGGATGCCCTGGATCCTATTGAGGTGAAACTGGAGGCGGGCCAAGACGATCCTTTCTATGAGTATACCAAATGCTGGAAAAAGGCAAACTGGCTCTGGTATTTTGTCATAAATGACCCTGATAGTGTTATCCACTCCATCAGGACTTGGCGCTTTGTTAGTGTTCGAAGCCTTCACAATACGTCCTACCTCCAGAGCAGTTGGGGTGGGTCCGTTATCAAAATGTCTTCTATTATAGTAATTATCAAATTTATTTCTAATGAGCTTGTGCAATTCATTATCATAAGCAGGATTATTTTCCTGAAAAATGTTATCAAGTAGATGTTTAAGTACTTCCACCTGTGATGACGCTATTTGTAGCATGTCGCGTGGAATAGTCGATGACCTAAATATTTGATTCGATGCAATTTTTAATGCTTGTCCGTAAGCTTTCGTTGTCTGCGTGCAATAGGTACGCAAAGAAGAAATCTCAGCCAGGTAAATATGAACTTTATATAGTGCTTTAGCCTTTTTAAAATCTGTCATACGTGATAGTCTTAATTCTTGCTCGCTAGTCGCTTGAGCTCTTCTACGCAAAGCACGAACACTACTTCGTTCTGACCTAAGTTCTTGAGTCCACCAATGTGTCTTAGCATTGCTGTGATGAAGCTTAGTTATGTATGCATATTTAGTCGCTTCAAGCAAAGTTTACAGCAAAACACTATTCGCTACTAAGTTCTTGAGTCCAGGTCCTACAATGCTTGAAATTTCACTCGGAACTCAATTGTGTCATTCGCGATGGTGCATGAAGCTTAGTTATGATCAAGTGGCGACTGTTTTTTGCATTCCTATCAAATACTCTCAAATGCAAATCAGAAGACTTCAGAGGAATGTGAGAGATCTTGTGATGCCCCCAACGTGTCACTGTAGTTCTGAATCTGATGTTTCCTCATAAGTTGACTTCTATACATAGTTGTCCTTGATGACGACGCCAGCTCAAGAAGGTTACAAAGTGTTGAAGGCGCAGAATTTGAATTTAATACATGCTACGAACATATGACTAGTATTTACAATTGTATATATAAAAATGTTTCCTTTGTTATTTTTTTATTCCAAAACGTATATATATGACGTTTTTGCCGTATAAGTGGTATATACATATTTGGCACAACCGATTTTAATAAATAGGGCAGTTACACAAAACTAGATGTTATGGAGTCTCAAATGAAAAATTTTAACGATCTATGGCTGATCATTTTTGAATTATGCGAGATGCATGCGTTCCTACGTATGCTCAAACGTCACGAACAAGTGAATTTTTAATCACTTTTAAATTAATTTCCAGTCCGTTTTATAAACACAGGTCCTTTAATTTGTCCGTACGTACAAAGGTAACTCAAAAAGTAATCAGATCATCGATTGGCTTGAATTGAATTTCTAAACTTATAATTGTTGACAGAATTCCTTTATTTTAAAAATATCTATAAAGAAATATCTATCCAAACTAAATTTCACTATTATGAGTTGGCCCTAATAATATGATAAGAGTTAATAGTAGACTATGTAAAAACAACAGAAGGTAATTTAATCAAATGAATTTTAGTTAATTAAGGAATAATTGAAGCGTGATGGGCAAGACTTTCCTGCATTTGCAGTTTTAGGGTCAAATTACGGCTCTAAGTTACACTAAACCAAGATTTATAGCTTTAATCACACGAGTAATTGCTCAATTTAATTCTTTAAATTAATTTGGGCCTTGTAATCAATTCTTGAATCAAGATTCCATTGGAAATAATTGCAACTTTCAGTATTGCACTTGTGTGTAAAGTAGAGGACCTTTTGTATCATTTCAAATGATCTCTACTTGATTAAATATAACTGTTCTTTTATTAAATTATGTTATCGTCAGAAGAAAAAAATGTCTTTCGCTCCTGGAATAGATTTTAGTTCTGTTAAATCCTGTTGTGACGAAATTTTGGCTGTAGATTCCTGTTTCAAAACATATTAAAATATCTTTTCAAGTTACATTTATAACACTTTATAATCAAGCTACTTTTAGGATTGAATTATGGGGACGAAAAAATCGCCACTTTGTTAGCCCAAAAGGGATATTTGTCTCGAAACACGATTTTTTATGTTTCAATTTTCATTCTAGTTTGCTGCCATTCGAGAAAACATAAAATATAACTCTTTCATATTTAATCTGTCTGTTATTAATTAACAAATTAAACTATTCAAATGCATCAGATGCAGTTCTCTAAAATATTTTTTTTTGTATCCGATCGATTTAAATAATGTATTTATTTCATGAAAAATATATTTAATTCAGGATATATCTAATTAAAAACATTTAATTTTTATAGAATTACATTTCATATTTTTTCCATTTTTCAAATATAAAGAAGATACATAAGGTTCCGATGTTAATTTAAATGTATATTCATCTAATATCCTATAAAATGACTATGATAGGCCACATAGGCCATCTCTATCACATCTCTAATCTGCACTGATAAATCATATTAATTTTAAAAGAGTACTTTTGGGGTATCGTTAAAATCTGATCCCTTTCAGAATTTTTCTTTTTATATTTATTATTATAATTTTATTCTCAATTCTGTTTAATTTACATAAAATTTGTTTCCATTTTTTTTGGCGAATATACGTTTTGCGTGGTCTATTTCTTGTGAAAGGCCTGACAAAAAATGTCTATGGCTCAAAAACAGGATATTTCGGTTTATCAACACGCTGGTATCCTCAAATAATAAATTTATTAAAAAAATATTGGGTTAAAGTTAAGCTGCTATCATACGTGAAAATGTTTGGGAAGAATAGCTCTCTTACGCAATTTTTGAGCTTTGTCATATGATGTACGAGTATTAAAAGAGGCAATCATAGTAGATCAGTAGAGTTTTCATGTAAAGGAAAACAGGTATTTACATTTTGGTTTATCGTATAAATGAAGTTTTGGGCTAATAGCTGAATACTAAAAAGAGAAAAAAAATCCGTAAAGTTTTAAAAATCCTTTGATTGTGTGTTCAAAAATTTAAATTAGCATAGTTTGGTTTATAAAATTAAAATACATACCTCAAATCATGCTCTCGAGACAGGAAAACGCTGTTTGTTAAAGTCAATTAGAAGTAGAAGAGTTGGGGCATTCATTATTAAAAATTGTGTATTTATTTTGTATTTCATTTTATTTTTATTTATTTATGGACTTTTATATGTGGCTGAAGCATTTTTATATATCAATGAATATCTTCTTGCATGCTTTTATAAACTTTTATGCAGAAGTTTAGATATTAGGGTGTAACTCAAGATCTTGCAACATAATAAAAATAAGACAAACAAGAGACAGTTATTAAAAGAAAACAGTTTTAAGTTCGCAAATATTTCTTACAAGCTCCAACAGTAGAAATATTTCCTGGAAAATTCAGGTGACATCGATGCTCCTATATTGTCCCTGATTAATGTTTGAAGACCAACTTTGTTCGAAGTGCAAAACATTTTTCCTACTCACCTATCGGAAAATATATGATTGTCTTAGTGCTGATTACATTAATGGACGTTCTTTAAATACTAGTATCTCAAGCGTAGGCAATGAAAAACACAAAGAAAATAAGGAAATTGAAAGCAAGGGCGTTAAGCTATGCAAACAATTTGTCGTATGAATGGTGAATTAACTGAACTTGAGCATAACGTAGCATCAAAAACATGGCCTTTGTTTGACGTATTGCCTGAAAACTATTAGTACGATTTATAGAAAGAAATGTAATAAAATAGTTTTTAAGGATTAATTGAAAAATTTAATTTTATTGTAGTTTCCATTAAGTCCATTTTAAAAATATTTAATTATTTTAATGATAATCAAATTTATGACAATTGCTTAAACCTTCTGAAACACTCCCTCATCCAACATCCTACATTAATTATTATTTCTAGATGCCCATTTATTGATTAACTATATCTTCCGAATATCCATTTAATAGATAGACCATTTCTTGTCCGGATAATGCAGAATTTAGTGTAATATATTATGTGAAAAGTACAAATGATAGCAAAATGTTTACAATTTTTTTTTCTCAAAAACTTAGAAATCATTGTTTCTTTAGATCAAGTATTTAGACTGGAAGCTGTATTTTCTATTTTTCGAGCTAAATATACGTTTTGAGATTTTGAGATAATCTGATAAACAAAAATTAACAAACAAACAAAAAAAAAATACATTTTAAGAAACATAGGAAAAATAAAACGTTCTCTGCCAATTAAAATTACCTTGTTACACTTCTGATTCCTCTATATACAGCAAAGCAAATGATAACTTTAATATTGTTTGCTTCAATACATTCATTTGTTACATTTTTACACTAAATTTCTTTGACATTAATTTATGAAATATAATTCTGCTTGCATCTCCTAATAGAGTGAAAGCTTTATACCGTTTGCAACTTAAATATCTATTAAATGATTTATTACAGATTTCGAGATTTATTGGTTTTAGTTCTAGTTTAAGAAATGAATCAAATAAAACAAACGTTCCAAATGGGCAACTATGATTACAATACAACATTGACATATATCGCCACATTATAAGTTTTTAGATGAAACATAAAGTTTTAAAAAGGCCGTGTAAAAAATGTATAAATCAAATTACAAGAAAAATTACATGAAATATAATTAATTAAACTCTTCGAGCAATGCATTGTTAAAGATGATTGTGGAATTACAAATTGGGCACAAATTTCTAAAAGCTGGTCTGATAAGATCCTATAGTCGTCATTGTTCTCATCTTTTGCCATTCACAGTTCTGTCTTATTTTCTATTCATACTTTCAAGAGCCTTGCACACTAGAAATACTCCATTGTTCAAAAAGTTCAAAAGATTTTCAACTCATAAATCATGTAATGAGTTTTGAATTGGAAAGTTTTTATCTTTCAATAGTCGAATTTGGCTGATATAGGAAGTCATATACTTTCTGCTAAAAAGAAATGGACATAGATTTTAGATCAGTATGTACATAGATCTATCTAGATGGCATATTTTGTGTTACAGTGTAGAAACGAGATAACGCATCTTTTTACCGTTCAGTACGTTATCACATTTTGAGCAAACGGGACATGAATTGAGATACTTAAGGTACTTGCACCAGAAATAAATCTCTATCATGACACAAACACGTTATTTAAAAGTTTCTCATGCTCTGATTTTGCTATTCCTTCTTAATTTGTTTTTTCTAAGAAGTAAATGTTTTCAGATAACTCAGGATATCCGAAACAACTCAATACTCGTTCTATAACGGATGCTAAAATGAATTCTTTCCCATGCCGGAGCAAGGACACATATTACAACGGATTTTACGTCATAGGTAAGGAAATAATATTATTTTGTGAGTAATAAACCTGTTCTATAAGCATATTTCGCGTAATTTTCCAATATATGAGTAACTTAAATTAATTCAAATTCTGTTACTCTTCAAAGAAGTTCAAACATTTTCAGTCCATCAACTACTTTCCAAGTTCTTTTCAGTCCTTACCAACGAATTTCAT